TGTTATCAAAAAAACTGAGAATAACAAATGATGGTGAGGATGTGGAGAAAGAGGAACCCTCCTACGCTGTTGGTGGGACTGTAAATTAGTGCCCCCATTATGGAAAACAGTGTGGAGGTTTCTCAGACAACTACAGATGGAACTACCATACGATCCAGCAATCCCTTTACTGGGTATACACCCAAAGGAATGGAAATCATCATGTCAAAGGGATACCTGCACTCCCTCATTTGTCACAGTTCTATTTACAATATCCAAGATATGGAACCAAGTTAAATGTCCATTGACAGATGAGTGGATAAAGAAAATGTGGTATTTATGCACAATGGAATACTACTCAGCCATTAAAAAAAATGAAGTTCTGCCACTTGCAGCAACGTGGATGTATTTGAAGAAAATTATGTTAAGTGAAATTAGCCAGGCACAGAAAGAGAACTACTGTTACGTTCTCACTCATAAGTGGGAGTAGAGAGAGAGAGAGAGAAAGACCACAGTAAAATGTTGAACTTTTAGAAGGAGAGAACAGACCTGTAGTTATTAGAGGTGGGAAACGGGGAAGGGAAGGAGGTTAGGGAGTAATTGGGTAAGGGACACAAAGAGTAATTATGATCTGTAATGATGAACATACTAATAATATTGATTTGATCATCAAGTACTGTGCACAAATACTGATAGTCACCTCTGTACTCCGTAAATATGTATAATGAAAAAAGGAAATAAAACTGGTTTTGTTCACAAATGACATATTGTTTAAGTAGAAAATACCAAAGAGTCAACCAAAAAACCCTAGAACTAAGTGATGATAGCAAGTTTGCATTATGTAAGGTTAGTATGCAAAATTCACTTGCTTTCTTATATAGTAGCAATTAATAATTGGAATTTGAAATTAAAAACATAATGCCAGTTATGTTAGCACAAAAATAAGGTATAAAACTAACACAATATATACAGGATCTATATGTGGAAAACTGTTAAACTCTGATGAAAGAAATCAAAGAAAATCTAAATAAATGGACAGATATTCCATGTTCATAGATTGGATGACTCAAAGTTGTTGTCAGCTCTTACCAACTTGATCTATAGATTCAATGCAATCCCAATCATAATCTCAGCAAACTATTTTGTGGATATTGATAAACTGGTCCTAAGTTTATATGGAAAGGACCAGAATAGTCAATACTGTCAATACTGAAGAAGAACGAAGGTGGAGGACTGACATTACTAAACTTTTAAGATTTACCATAAAGCTGCAGAAATCAAGACAGTGTGGTATTGATAAAAGAAGAGACACAAAGATCAATGGAACGGAATAAAGAGCTTTTAGAAATAGACCCACACAAATTACAGTCAACTGATTTTTGACAAAGGAACAAAGGCAATTTAATGAAGAAAGGATAGAAATTTCAACAAATGATATTGGAACAATTGGATGTCCATAGGCAGAAAATAAATCAGACAAAGACCTTATACCTTTCATAAAGTTAAAACTGCACATGAGTGTTTAATGGCAGCTTAATTCATAATCACCAAAAACTGGAAACAACCTAGATGTCTTTCAATATGTGAGTGAAGAAACTGGAACATCCAATGGAATATCGTTCAGCAATAAAAAGAAATGAGCTTGGGGCCGGCCTGTTGGCGCACTCGGTAGAGTGCAACGCTTGGGAGCGCAGCGGCGCTCCCGCCAAGGGTTCGGATCCCATATAGAGACCGGTCTGCTCACTGGTTGAGTGCGGTGCGGGTGCGACACCGAGGGTTGCAATCCCGTTACCGGTCACGAAAAAAGACAAAAAGGAAAAAAAAAAAAAAAGAAATGAGCTCTAAGCCATGAAAAGACATTGAGGATACTTAAAAACATATTGCTAAGTATAAGAAAGCAGTATGTAAATGCTACATATTATACAATTCCAGTTGTTTGATATTCTGGACAATGCAAAGCTGTATAGAGATAGTAAAATGACCAGTGATTGCTAGGAGTTTGAGAGAAGGGTGGTAAGCATGAACAGGTGAAACATGGAGGCTCTTTAGGGCAGTAAAATATTCTGTATGATGGTGGATACAAGACATTATACATTTGTCAAAACCCCTAGAATTGTACAGCACAAAGAGTGAACTTAATATGTGCAAATAAAAAAACTATTTAGAAGGTTTTGGAATCACAGGAAGGAATGCAGATGGTGACAAGAGACATTCATACAAATGTATAAAAGAACCTATATGAAAGGGGTGGTGGGAAAAGGTGTTGACCTAAGTGTCTTTGGAAATGAATGGAGTTGGTAAGACTGAAGGCAAAAGGGAGTTACACATAAGCACTGTACTCTGGTTGACGAAGTTGGTTTCCAGGACAGTGTGTGTTAACAATTCTGATACTACTATACGTGTGTACTGGGATGAAAGAGTTAAGTGAATGAATGACATATAGTGGGAGCCAGATTTCTCACTGTTGGAGTGGGAGCTTACAGATATGCAAGGGAAAGAAGCTAGAATGATCCATATGGTAATCCAGTAGAATTGGATACAGTGGTTTGAGCTCATGTTTAGCTGAATGGATGCCTATAAAAATCTTTACAAGTATATGTATATATGCAGATTAGTATAAACATTTATATTTTGCCCCATCAGATGAGAGCCTAGAAGCAACAGTACCCCAGTAGCAGCAAGCAGACCTAGTACCCAGATCTTGGTTTCTAATACCATTCTCCAATAAAAGAAACCAGTGCTCCTTGGATAAATAGGTGATTCTGGGGCAGGAAATATACAGGATGAGCTGGAGCATTTTGTAGTGCCAGAAAGAAAGAAAGTGTTAAAAAAAAAAAAAAAACAACCAAACCCTGAATATTGAGTAGATAAATGAGGGAGAAAAGACAAATCTTTTGTGTAGAAGAATTCCAAATAAATTTTGTAATATACTCTGCCTTCAGGGAGATGGAGTATATGACAACTCCCCACTCCTTGGATGTAGGCTGAGCATAGTGACTTCCTTTCCAATTCTACAGTATGGAAAGGGGGGTAAATTAGTATCTTTACAGTAGAGAAACCTGACAAGCACCACTTTAGCCAGATGATCAAGGCTCCATCAACAATCACAAATTATGTTGATAATATGTATGCTTGATATGATGTGATGAAAATGGACCTTTACCTCTGTGGTCTTCCTCCTGATATCCCATAACTCCAGTCTAATGATGAGGAAAACATCAAATTCCACTAGTGGGGTGTCGTACAAAATATTTGACTAGTACTAATCAAAGCTGTCAAAGTCATCAAAAACAAGGAGTCTGAGAAATTGTCACAGCCAAGAGGAGCCTAAAGAAACATGACTAGTAAATGTAATGTGGCACCTTGGGTAGGATCCTGGACAGGAAAAGGGACATTAGGTAAAAGGAAAATCTGAATAAAGCATCAGTTAATATTAGTGTGTCAGCATTGGTTCATTGATTGTAACAAATGTGCTAATGTAAGATGTTAATAGGAGAAAGTGGGTGGGGTATATGGGAATTCTATATTCTTGTTTTTTTTGTAAATTACTGTTCTATAAAGTAAAGTCTATTAAAAATAAAAATAAAAGGGAGCTCCAAGGCTACATACTTGAGGAACAGGGGAGAATTGAGGTTCTGTTAATAGTTGTTAGAAAACTACAAAGGGATGCATATCCGATTGGGTAAATAATGAGATTTTTCTTTTAGAGAGGTATTAGAAGGGCATTTAAGAAATGTCCTGAAGGCAATTTGACATTTGTCTGTAAAATCTCTCCGGGGCTCCCATGGGTCTAAGATAAGACCTAAAGTGTCTACGTTGTATGCAGACCAAACCTACTTTTCTGCACTCACCTCTCTGTTGTTCAGCAACATCAAGAAGCTTGTTCATTTACACATGCTTTCTGTTTCCTCTCTGCCTTTGTTCATGGTGTCCCTCTGCCTGAAATTCCCTATCCCCACCCCCCAGCCCACCTTCCTCTACTTAGCTTGGTGTTATTCAACACTTCACCTCCTCCATAAAGCCCTTCTGCTTCTCCTGAGTTTTGTGCATTTTTTCCATATTCCCCAAATCCCAGAAGTTCATTTCTGTGCCATTGGATTTATTATATTATTATCATCTGTATATGTTGTTTCCTCTTCTTGACCATGAACAAATCAAGGCCAGAGTCTTATTGTATCCACAGCAAGAACAGGATATAGAAGTTGCTCAATTCATATTTATAAAATGAAAGAGAGAGAGAGAGAGAGAGAGAGAGAGAGAGAGACTGACTTGGTTCTTACCAACAAGAAGCTCACATGTGAATGGAGATCAGAATATAATTTTCTGTTACAAATAATATAATAGTTGGTTTTGGAAATTTTAATTCATTCTCTCAAAACTCATTTTCTAGAGCCCTGAAATTTTATAAGAAAACTTTTAAAGCAGTGAAAGGTGAATTGCTCTCTAATATTAGATTATAAATGCTTTAAAAAGGGGAAAGGTGATTATAATGATCTGAAGGGTATGTAGATTACTCCTAGGCATCTAATTCTTGAATATTTTCTTACAGTCTTTGAGTAATTTGTGTGTGCTCTGTGAAATTAAATATGGAATATACAGAAAAGTACAGAAGATTGGTTTTATTTAAATGTAAATGAACTTATGGGAAGACCTTTTTTCCCCCATAATTTTATTTTCTAAAAGGAAAATTTCACATTTTAATATTCTGTGTTCACCTGTAGAGGTGAGCAACTCTGAAATGAAATACAGCGTACACCACACTCTTGTTAGTTGAAGCTGCCCTGTGATTCAGAGCCTTTTATCCAAAGGCACGTGCCCTTGCCTCAGCCCATCACGTGGTCTGTGTTTCTGGATCTTATGGAACAGGATGAAGCACATGGTGCGATTTATGCAAAAAGATTCTAGATCTATTATGATGATTTGAAAATGAAGCAAAATTATACTCTTGTGAAGTGTCTGGTTTTAAATTCTGTCCTTCAGTGTTTGCTCACATTTATTAAATCATGTCATATTGATTGTAGGGTACAGGAGATATTGACTGTCATTTTAAAATTAAGAAGAACTTGGAAAATGCATCCATAAGCCTGGAATCTGTGAAGAGCCCAGGGCTGTTTGTTGGACTTCAGTCAGATGGACAGGCAAAACCAGTGATTTATACCAAGGATGAGAATGTTTGCTTCTATCCACAAGTCATTCAATGTATGTTTTCTCTGATAAACTTCAGTTTTGGTTTCCTTTGTGATGTCTTGTGTACAGTGTCTGATTATGTCATTACGGTTTTACTAAAATCATATCTGCTATTAGGCTTTTTGTTTCTTATAATTTTAGAAGCATTGGAAGAAAAACATAAGACCACTTGCCTCAAATTTTCAGAAAATTAATGTTTTTTTTGAGATTAAGAGTTTTTGCTACATTGAGCTCCTTTATAACTTTAAATTTTGTGTGTGCATTTGTGTGTGTGCATGTGCATTTTTGAGTCTTTTTTGTTATTTGAGGATATCTTCATATACACTGAGAAGGGATGAGGCTGTTGGAAATATTCTCAGCTTCATTTCTATTAATTTTTAATGCTGGCAGTATAAAAACAGATGGAATAAAGATCAACACAAATGGGATTTAGATTTGGAAAAATGTCCCAAGATAGGACAGAAATGTGAATAATTTGAAACTGGTTTCTTTCATATCCAAGTTCAGGCTCTCTAGCAAATTAAAGATCTCCGGACTTTATTTAAACAATAAAATGAATTTTTTTTGAATACAATTAGGATTCACAGTGGTCCAACAAAATTTCTAAAGAAATATCTCCTTTGTTCTTGCCCTTACTAAAAGAGGAAGTTACCCCTAGTAAATAGAGGAGAAAACACAAACCACCTATGCTCTGGTAATATAACTAAATTGTAGAGCCTATAAAGAAGAATGACTTCACAATTGAACAAAGATTAATGAAGTAACTGTATTGTGTTTTTAAATTATCTTGGAGTTTAGTTCACCATCTAATTTTGCCTGATGTGGTTTCATGAGTTTTGACTTCAACAAAATCCACATGATTTTCTTAGTCAGCCTGACTCTTATTTATTTATTTATTTATTTTTGTCTTTTTTGTGACCGGTAAGGGGATCGCAACCCTTGGCTTGGTGTCCTCCGCACCGCACTCAGCCAGTGAGCACACCAGCCATCCCTGTATAGGATCCGAACCCGCTGCGGGAGCACTGCTGCGCACCCAAGCGCCACACTCTCCTGAGTGCACCACGGGGCTGGCCCAGGCCGGCCCAGCCTGACTCTTATTTAGCTTCTGTTTTCTCATCAATTTATCTATACTTTGTGCATGTATAAAATCCTACAGAAGACAGTTTAAAATAAGAACATAATGAACTTATTTAACATGATGATATATCTGGTCATGTTCTTTGAATTATCTGTATAAATTCCTTTCAGTTTTTAGTTGCCATACTTAAAATTTTACAAATTGTTGGACTAGTATACCTTAATTTATTGTCATCTATACCATCTGCCTCTGGAGCTCTGAAGGGAAACAGCTGACTTGAAAGCGACCAGAAGGATACTGGCTGGAATTAGAAGAAGAACAGAGATAAATAGCTAGCACGGACAGCAACCATGGTGGAAGAGCACAGAAAGAAAGGAGAAATAGTAAGGAAAGGCAGAGAGGAAAAGATGAGAAAGAGATAGCAATAATTAGAAAAGGTAATAAGGAGAAGGAAAAGTAATTGTGGCGCGAGAAAAGATAGAGATAATAAAAGACCACATTTGTCAGCCTAGGGTATTAGTACCAGTAGAACCAATAGAAATGAAGTCATTCCTCATTGCAGGCTCTAAATTTAGTTCTACTACTAGAGCATGGAAAGTTTATGTTTTCTTCTCTATTTACTAGAGGCAACGTTCTGTTTTAGCAAGGGCAAGAATGCAGGAAGCATTTCTTTAGAAATTTTGTTGAAGCATTATGGATCCTAAGAATTCTGAGGAAGATGGGCCGGCCCGGTGGCGCACTGGGGAGTGCGCCGCTTGGGAGTGCGGTGGCGCTCCCGCCGAGGGTTCGGATCCCATGTGGAGACCGGTTCCCGCTCACTGGCTGAGCGCGGTGCGGGCGCAACACCGAGGGTTCCGATCCCGTTGCCGGTCCCCGGTACGGGCGTGACACTGAGGGTTGCGATCCCGTTACCGGTCAGTAAAAAAGACAAAAAAGGAAAAAAAAAAAAAAAAAAAGAATTCTGAGGAAGGATATGAAAACATCAACATTTCTTCAAAGTACAATTTCTAGTAATACTCATACTTTCCTGTTTTCAGAAGACAATCCCAGTGTTAAAGAAATCCATGTGTGCACCATGAGCCCTTTGGTTTCCACTTCAAGTTCATATTTTTCCTTCTTGGGACTGTAATGAAATGTGTTTCCAGAATAAGTTGCTACAACTCTAAGAGATTTATAATCCTTAGACTCTGAACACTTCAGCAAAAGGAAGTGCAAAGAATGGCTCCT